TCCTGAGTTGCTTTGTACCTTGAATCTGAATTTTGAAAAGCACCTTGGCCTATCTTTGGAACAGACTGTGAGATTAGTTGGAACATTCCTGGGGAGGCTGGATGGAATAGTGTCAGGATCTCAAAATGTTTCTGACCTTGAAATATTTTGCACATCCCTAATAATGAGCCCTGTCTTCTCTTTCTCTGCTCTCATAGTGGAGTTGCTGGCAAACTATGCCTACCGGTCAGTTCGAGTCACACAGGTGAGTTGAGGAAAACTTTGGAATATCCTGCTTGATTCCAAATGGGAGCTTCTTGTACCGAAGCAGGGGCAGGTTTCAAACTTACCCACCCATCCCCTGGATCTAAGAGCCAGCTGGCTCTGGGTGAGACTCTCATATTATGATATATTGGCAGCGAGGGGTAAATCCCACATCTGTGGAAGAGATACACCTGCATTGTGGAGACAGCACAACACTCCAAGAAGGAGAGACTCTGTGCCTGGTAAATGGACTGTATCCTTATTGCATCCACTTTGAGCAAGATGATAACTCCACAAAGAAAAACCCGCTAGAATTCTTCTGCAGTAAGCGGACTCAGAAGAAGACAGAAGAAGATGGCAAGGCCCACGCAGTCAAACGTCTCAAGGCTTCCTGCCCTTCTGAAGATGAGGAAGATGATGACTCATTTGTAGCTGAGAAACTGAGGCAGCTGCAAGAGACGGCAGTGCGGGCAGCACAGACCCATTCTTCTCCTCAGAAGCCTCTTTCAAAGCTGGCCCCCCAGCCCTCTGATTCCTGGGAGGACCGGGGCAAGCTGCTGGTCTTCACCAAGAAAGGAGTAGTACCAAGTACTAAAGTAAGTCTCTTTGCCTGTTGCTTTGAAACTGTAGCTTCAAGAACACCGCTTGTTTGGGTGTTGCTCAAGGAAAATTGAGGGAAAACTGTTTATTTCTGCATTCCTCCCATTTCCTTGAAATATAAGGTAAATATTTATGTAACTGGTCCAGAGCTATGCAAATAGAGTGGATATCAGTTTCTAACAACAGAGTAAGGCAGTTTCTTATGTTTTTGCTCTTTTGTTTACAAATGGAGAAGAATAAGGTATAGATTAAGGAGTAAACATAAAGTATTCAGTTGTGAGTTCCTTGGGGCAAAAAAAAAAGCCTAGTATCACTGTTGGGAAAAGGCCTTTTATCCAATGTGTTGCAAATACATATGTATATTTCCATTGGAGGCAGCCCCAATTTCAATTATTATTATACTGTCATAATTCCAGGCGGTCCAGGGAATTTTTGTATTTGGGGGATTCCTGTTGTTAAGAGAATATCTTCCAATGATCTCATAGTCCCCAGGACTGGCAGACAGTGTCCTGTTTGTGTGGTCTAGACATTTTGCTTTTTGCCTGCAGAAGTGCCTAAGGAATCTAGGGAACCAATGTGGCATACTGGTTGAAGTAGTAGACTAGTATTCACCTTATCCGTGGAAGCTCACTGGGTGACTTTGGGCCACTCACTCTCTCTCAACCCAGCCTATCTCACAGGGTTGTTATACAGAAAATAGGAGAGAGGAACACTATATATGCTGCCAGAGCTTCTGAATGAAAAATGGGATATAAACGCAATAAATAAATATTTCATAAGAATACCTAAAAGAATGCTGTCAGGCAAAGTGGTGGTGATTTTGGGTGCAGCCTGCCTAAGGTGGTTGGTGGGTCTTGATGTGAGCCTAAATGGACCTTTGGGTTTTCTCCCATGTTGCTTTTTCACCCAGGTGGCAGGGTTTGATCTGGATGGAACCCTTATCACAACACAGTCTGGAAAAGTGTTTCCTACAAGTCCTGATGACTGGAGGTAAGCACAGAGCTACATACGAGGGAAGTAGAAGAGGGAGCAGGTTTGTAGACAGCCGGTCAGTTGGCGTGGCAGTTCATTTAGATGAGGAGCAGGGAGTGCTGGATTTGAAACTCTCCTTATCTCTGAAATTGTGAAATCAATTTCTTTCTCAGCCTAATGTTGCAAGGCTACGGTGTGGGCAAGGCCTGGGGAAGGAGGGCAGCAGGCAGCCATTTCCTGAGTTCCTTGGAGTAAGGAAAGGGCGCAAGCCGCTCTTCTCTAAACTGATTCCCTCCATACAATGTGAAATTATAGTCCATCACATTGGGAAGGCTGTTGTAAAGGAAATCCTGTTTCTTCATCTGTGTTGTTAATCAGGCTGTCATTATTAGAAGGAAAGTTTTAAAGTGGATTTGTTTTGTATTTTTAATACTTCAGTTTGATTGTCTTGATGATTGGTCACCTGCCCACAGCATGTATTGATTAAGGGGCAGCCATGGAAATATTATCAGGCCACTGAAGTCAGTAGGATCCCGCCAGGAAAAATGGGCATGAAGTCCTCATCCAGCTGTGAAGCCATTGGAAGGCTTAAGCCAGTCTCATTCTCTTGCCCTGGCCTAACATGCCAGGATTTTCATTGATGTGAAAAGGTGAAGAAGGGAACTACATTGCCTCGAGTTCCTTCAAGTCAAATAGAATAGAAATATAGAAAAGATTTTAAAAAAAGAAGAATGGTGATTAATTATACTTCCATGAGGAAAAGTCAAATGCAGTGAGAAAT